ATTCAATTTTATTTATGAATTATCTTAGGGGCGTGTTAGTAATAAAAGCCATAATAACCGCATGAGTTATAATTTTTAAAAAACCCGTTTGTTTAGTATGGATATTTGCCTAATCTTTTTATTTTTATTTCTGTCATGATAAAGCGCCTAAAATTGCGAAATTTTGAACTCAAGAAATTCCTTGGTTATTCTTATTATCGTTACGAAATATACTAGTAGAGCACAACACAAGTACAAGTTATTTCGTCAATTTCTCCTTGGTATTGACACAGAGAACCCAGGCCGCAAAACGCCGCAGCAATGGAACAGCAAGCACGCAGGCAATCAAATTGCAGTTTCCGCTCTTACGTTACTTCTTTATTATTGCCACGTTATGTTACATAGTAAGTAGGTATGTATAGGTATGGTGAACGAGACGTAAACAAACAAGCGATTTTTTTCAATTTTGCAACCAAGGGAAAAGTCAATGTCAAAACGTCGATTGCTNATTGGTATCCTGAAAAACGGGCACGTGAATTGGAGCAAAAAAAGTTTTAAAGGAAAGTTGGATGCTTTCGAAAGGGAAATCAATTGGTTACTTTGAATATGACCTTAACCTTGAACTTTGGAAGTCATTTGAATATGAATTCATTTTTTTAATAGGAGTACCTACCGATATGATATAGAAATGGTCAGAAATGAGATAGTATTAGAAACAAAAGGAAAATGGAAGGCCTTAAGGAAATCAATAAGAAACATGCGAGAACCTATATCATCATTCATTAAGGGCAGGTGCGCGCGTGTTATAATAGTAACGCAAAATCGATTGAATAATTAACAAGACAAGTTGTAAAGTTCAAATTGTTGTAAAGCTTTCTTCCACATATGCAGAGACAAATGAAAAATACGTTTTAATTTACCTCGATGTCGTATAAAATGTCCATTCTCAATGATACAAAAATTTTCTTTAAACTTATATACAAGTCCTTATTGCAGCTGATGATTACTACGATGCAATTTTCCGTGTTTATATAAGGTCGCAGCAGCAGAATGTTTACTATTTAATTTGAAAAGTGAGATAAACGTGCGCTTATTTTGCTTTAATCCTTCGCGTAGCCGTATCTACATGTGCCAGACTATGAAACATATTAAATGTTACCTTTTTAATATTCTGCTAGAAGTGTTGTTATGCATACGAATGCTTAGAATATTCAACCAACAAAATAACCGCATCAGAACTATATCGAAAGTTAAATGGAAAGAAAATAACCCGACGCTTACTTACGGTCTGACGAAGGATGGGCATTCAGCCAAAATTAAACACGAAAGTAGGAAATAAATTGGATTTCTACGATTTTCTCCCAACATAATGGACAAGTAGATTGCTTTTCATTAAAAATAAAAGGAACGAGAGCTACAATTCGTACTACACAAATTAAGTGTTATAGATAAAAAATTAACTGTTAAATAAACTAGATCCTTTGCAAAATTCGTCTGTTTTAGTTGTTTCTTTTTATTTTGAATAAAAATTGGTCTTGCAGACTTGGTCTTGGCTGGCTATATGCCCAAGACCAAGACTAAGGCCGAACGAACCAGACCAAAATTAAAATCAAGACGGAACGAACAAGACCAAGACTAAAACCAAGACCAAATGTGCAAGACTAAGGCGAAATACTCAAGACTAGACCTAGATTAATATCAAGCTGGTTTGAACAAGACCAAGACTAAAACAAAGACCTTATATGCAAGACCAAGACGAAATACTCAAAACTAGACGAAAAATTATTAGTTACAGTGAATTTATGATTTAAACTATTTTTCATTTGGAACAACAAAACATTTTCAGTTTACTTTACTATAGACTTTTACGCACTAAATATAAAAAAAATAAACTTTATCAGCGTTTGAAAAAAGGAATCTACAAGAAAATTCTCGGAGTAAGTATCCTACACGCACCTTCACTCCTTCCTATCCTGAGCTAATATTTGCATTTCTAGAACAACCCACATCCTTAACTATTTGCGAACAGTAATCCAGTCTTTTTCGAATTTCTAAATTTGGGAGCATAGAAGTGACTTCTTTTTATTGAAGGCGACTGGACCCTGCGTTATCCTCGGCTTTATACCCCTACTACTCCTTCCATCCTGACTTATCTGACTTCCTAATAGATACCTAAAATCGGCCACTTCTTCTAATTTTTCGTCTCCTACCTTTATATTCGCTCTTTCCCTATTTTTTCTTCCCTTACATACCAGTATTTTTGTTTTACTTTTACTTATTTTCACACAATACTGTTTTGTCAATACCGCTTCCAATTCTTTGGTATTATATCAATCCGATTTTGCACAACAACTTGGTTGAATCAATGATTTATTAAAAGTAGCTATGACGTGTTGATGAGAACTAATAAGTTAGAAATCCATGTCTAAGAATGTTCTTTATTAATTTTAATTTCGTTGTCATATTTAATACATATATATAAACAGTGTCGTAGATTCAATTTCAAACCTTTTCAAATACTACGCATAGTACCATGACTACATTTAATGAAATGTGGGACAATACAGAACGAATATATTGCAGATGATGAAAGTGATCAAATCAATATCTTAGCAACGCACAATACAATATAAACTTATCTCATCAATTTGAGAAATTTAAAATATCTAAAGTAATATAGCTAAAGAACTTCATCTTCTAAGAAATTTAATTACCGTATCTACTGCTTATAATGTTGTAACCATTGTCAGATACTATTAAAGATTCAATAATTCTTACAGTTCGTTAGCTACTTTCTTAAACTCGAACATCTTTTCAAGCTTAATTCCTTCCTTTATAAATTGGTCTCGAGCTTTCAAATGAAAGCTGAATCCTGGCAGATCATCTCGTATTACTTCAGATCTTAGCTACACGGCATCTCATTATCTGCCAGAAAAAGCGGTAATTGAAATAGGATGAATTTAGGAACAACCTAGCCTGGTTTGTAAAAAAAAAAACGTTTAGAAGTACCTAGGCATACGTACGTTATGCATATATGTATTCTTAATGCTATAGTGAATATACGAAAATGAAAATTCTGGAGGAGTTTTCTTCAAAAATGTAAAATGATTAATGAATTAAAAGGCCCGTTTTCTTTGTTATACCTAAATTGATTCGGGCGTACTCTATATTTTAATTGTTAAGGTCGATTTGTCTTCTCCTTAATCAATGAAAGCATTTTCGGATTATTCAATTATTCAAATTACGATTTGAATTGACAAGAACTGTAACAAAAAGTGTTTCTCAGAATCTCACAAAGAATTGAATGTTTTTTGCATCTTTTTCGAATTATAAAAAGTTATTTACTGACTTTTTATTGTTAAGATTGATATCTACTCTAGAATTTAATTTCAATTTGAACCGTTCTGAAAATTTTATATCTGAACTGGTTACTTTGATCTTCAACGTTAAACAAACAAATGCCCTGATTTTTTTGATCTGTGTTCGTGTAGTTCTGTCTGTGTCACCCTATTAACTAATCAGCTAAATATTAGAATTTGATGCTGTTTGTTTGTTTCAAATCTTATGTTCGATGATAAATAATACCTAATAATAAATGCTGACATTTCTAACATATTTCAGTTCTACAAGTGCAGATGGACCTTAGTTTAAATGTTGAAAAGCTAAATAATGTTATAATAATAACAACAGTGGTTATATTTTTATAAATGATTTATTATAAAAATAT